GGAGGAGGAGGAGGAGGGTGGGGGCAGAGGCGGTAGTGCCGTGGTCGTCAAGGGCTCGTCAAGGCTCGCTTGCGCCGAGTAGACGTTAAAGTGGCTGGGGCGAGTCGCCAAGCCGAGGTCGTAGGGGCCGAGGAATGGCGGCACTTCGAGACCCAACGGGCCGGACGAGGTCATCGTCAACAGCGACGTCGTCGCAGACGCAGTCGGTCCCAGCGACACGCAGTTGACGCCGGCAGATGCGCCAGACAGCTCGACACTTGTCTCCATGCCGACGGATCAGGCTGGCCGACGAGGCCTCTTGCCACCGGCCGGTCGCACCAGATCGTCTGGCCAGATGAGTTTGTGAGATGGGCTCAATTGTCGTGATTACCGGTTGCCAGGCGACCGCGACAAGGAGGACTGGCGAGATTGCCACCGGCTCGATTACGTCTACTCACCGGCTTGCACGCATTCACTGTCCGAATGGAGCAGAGCATGCCGTCAGCGTCTGTCTGTATGTATGTATTGGATGAGTGTGTATCTGTGTGTGTGTGTGTGTGCGTGTGCGTATTTGGGCTGGCGGTGACTAGCTCGAGTCCCGCGGGTCGGGCGAATCAGGCCGAACTGGCCGCGACGGTGGCAACGAGGCGACCGGTCAAGCCGAGTCGCAACGAGGCCATCGAGCCTGACTGGATCTGCGTGTCCGTGGCAACCGGACAGGACAGACGGGTACAACAGTTGTAGCACAACAGTTAGATCCGATTCGCTGGCTGGTTCGTCGTGCACTTTTCTTGAAGTCCGGCCTATTTTGCCGGTCGCCAGACGCGATGGGATTCAGCGTCACCAACCCACGAGCACATTTAGCCGGCGGGGCGACGGGATTTGATCGTTGGCGTAAAGAGTGATAATTGCCTTGGTTACCGAGTCCGCCAGAGTCAACTAAATGAGCCAAACAAGAGGAGAAGATATCCGAGCCCAATTTGCAAATGTTCTGCTGCAAGAGCACCAACTCATCTGCCAGTCGGCGTCGTGTCAGTCCTCCTGTCCGTCTGTCAGTCTATCTGTACGTCTGTCTGCCTGTTTGTCTGTCTGTCTGTGTGTCTGTGTGTGCGCTTGCTGACTGACAGTATGGGGCTCTCGAGGCTCGAGCATGAGCAATGGACAGTTTAGTGGCCGTCTAGACCCGCGGAAGTCTGCCCTCCTCCACCTCCTCCTGCTCCTCCTGCTCCTCCTACTCGCAGGCCTTCTCCTGACTGGACCGCCTCTCAACACGCGCACACTCAACACACACACACACACACACACCACTGCACGCACGCACGCATAAAGACTCGTCTGCCTGCCCGCTTGTCTGTCGAGAGGTCTGGTTGCCGTTCCTCTCGGTGCCGGGTCGTATTGTTTTGTTTTCAAGTGCGACGTCCAAGTGTCGCCACGGCCACAAAAGGCCGGGAGGAGATGCAGACAAAGAGTATTATTATTATTATTATTAC